GCTGGAGGTGATATACGAGAGACACACTTCTTGAGATGAAACCCTTTCTTTGACAAAATGTTGGTCGACTTCGATATGCTTAGTTCTGTCATGCTGTACCGGATTATGAGCTATATTAATAGCAGCCTGATTGTCACAATACAACATTAAGGGCTTCTCATAAGCAATACCCAACTCCTCAAATAATGACTTCAGCTATAGGATTTCAGCCACACCATTAGCCATGGATCTATATTCAGCTTCAGCATTAGAACAAGAAACAACACTTTGTTTCTTACTCCTCCAGGAGACAATGTTACCTCCTACAAAGGCACAATATCCAGAGGTAGACCTTCTGTCATCAACACTCCTAGCCCAATCAGCATCTGTATAGACATCTATCTTCATGTGATCATTATTCTTGAATAATATACCTCTACCTGGACATCTCTTCAAGTATGCTAATATTCTCTCAACTGCAAGGGGGTGAGTAGTTCTAGGAGAGTGCATATATTGACTGACAACGCTGATTGCATAACTGRTGTCCGGCCGTGTGAGACAAAGATAGAGGAGTTTCCCAACCAACCGTTGGAACATAGCTTTGTCTTCAAGAGGCTTTCCACCCTCTGCACTGATCTCGTGATTTTGTTTAATAGGTGTATCTGCAGGCTTAACACTCAACTTTCTAGTTTCTGCTAATAGATTTAGAACATACTTCATTTGAGAAATAAAAATCCCATGTTTAGATCTAGCAACCTCAATACCCAAGAAGTATCGTAGCTCTCCTAGATCTTTCACCTCAAACTCTTGATGAAGGAGTTGTTTAAGAGACTCAATCTCACTGTTATCATTCCCTATCACTTCAATATCATCCACATATACAATAAGCAAAGTCAAGGAAGARTCCACTCTTTTAATGAACAATGTATGATCTGACTGGGCTTGTACATAGCCGAATTTTTCAAGGGCTTGTCTGAATCTATCAAACCAAGCTCTAGGAGACTGCTTTAGTCCATACAAGGCTTTATTCAACCGACAAACATTCTTACCTGTCTCTGCATCATAAAATCCAGGAGGTAACTGCATCATAAAATCCATCTAGAACAAGGGCTAAGAATAACTGGCTGCAAGGGATAACAGAACTCGAATAGTGGTCATCTTTGCTACTGGAGCAAAAGTCTCAAAGTAGTCTATACCATAAGTCTGAGTAAATCCCTTTGCAACTAACCGGGCCTTATACCTTTCAATGGAACCATCAGCATTATGTTKCMCARYAAATACCCATYTACATCCAAYCGGTTTCTTTCCTTTAGGCTGGTCAACTAGCTCCCAAGTATTATTCTTCAGAAGGGCATCCATTTCAACCTTCATTGTATCTTTCCACTCAGGAACTGACAAGGCTTCCTGTACTGTTCTGGGAATAGGAATATTAGCAATGGATGTGAGAAAGGACCTGTAAGAGGGCGACAGGCGATCATAGGACAGAAACTGGGAAATGTAGTGAGCTGTGGATGTGGTGCAACGCCGTTTGCCTTTACGGACTGCAATGGGGAGGTCAAGGTCATCCAAAGGAGGTAACGTAGCAACAGTGGAAGGTATCTCAGGGGGACCTAGATCTGATAAAGGGACTGTGGTACCTGGATGTGGATCCACAGAAGGAACTGGGGTTGGCTTGGACTGCTGATGACCGAAATCAACCTGCCTCCATCGCCTGTGATAGACTCTCAAATCCTGACACCTGTTACAACCCTCCCCATTACATCCCTCATCACTCAATGGAACAGGTAAATGAACTTCTAATGAGTTAACCCCACTCTCACTACTCTCCCCCTGAGGAGAAACCCTAGGGTAATAGGGTACCTCCTCAAAGAAAGTAACGTCCATCGAGACAAATCTCCTCCCAGAAGTAGGTTCATAGTAGCAATAACCCTTTTGAGTTTGTGCATAACCGAGAAAAATGCATTTGGAGGCCTTAGGATCAAATTTGGAACGATGAGGTCCAAGAATCTGAACAAAGCAAGTGCAACCGAAGGTTTTAAGGGGAACAATAAATAATTCTTTATCGGGGTATAGAAGGGTAAAGGGAGGCTTCACGTCAAGAACTCGTGAAGGAACTCGATTAATGGGATACACTACTGTAAGAATAGCATTGCCCCAGAAACGGATAGGCACATTGGAGTTAAACATAATGCTTCTAGCCACCTCCAATATGTGCCTATTCTTCCTCTCAACAACCCCATTCTGCTGTGGTGTATAAGGACAAGTTCTCTGGTGAATAATCCCATGATCAAGCTGATAGGAGGCCAATGGCTTGGTAAAGTATTCTTTCGCATTATCGGATCTGACGATTTTGATTGACCCCAAACTGGGTTAAAATCATCTGATGAAAGATCTGGGTCAAAGCAGGAACTCATCTCGAGAATGCATAAGGTAAACCCAAGAAAAACGGGTATAGTCATCAACAAACAACAAGAAATATCTGTATCCCTCCATAGAGATGTGATACGGGCCCCAAACATCGGTGCGCACAACATCAAAAGAATTACTACTTCTTTTATTACTCAAGGAATAAGATGTTCTAYAATGCTTTGCAAGCTCACAACTCTCACATCTCAAATTTGACATCTGAACAGACTCAAACAAATTTGGAAACAAACTCTTCAAAGAC